TACGAAACGGAGAGAGATATATATATATATAAAACTGCAAAGCGTACCTGGAAGGAAAAAACTCGTCAGACTTTTTAATGTTTTATTTAACTAAAAAATATCAAAGTCTAAGTTAAGAGGAATGTATCAACGCGGTGGCACAACCGCTCTGATGTTAAAGAAGATGTGTCAAGTGATGCCGAGTGAATATTATTCCAAACCTCGCTCAGACCTTCAAAAAACAAACCTTTAAAAAGAGCAAACAGATCAACACAGTTGTATATGTTGAAAAAGAAGAAGATGGATTCTTGTTCGACTGATCATCGAATAACCGACAATCAGAATGTTCTTACATATATGTCGGATATCGTTTTAGTTGATCATTCAATAGCCGAAAATTGATCATTTTCTGTGTAACGGCCGGGTATTTTGTGCACCTGTTTTTGTACGCGTCTAGGAAATAGGAATGTAATTATATAACCATGTAGTATATATAGGGAACATCGTTATGTTATGACTACGCAATTTATGAACAAGCGATATGACTTCCACATGACTATAGGTATATATGTGCGTCACACTTCCACATGACTATAGGTATATACGTCCGTCACACTACAGATGACTACGTGTATGTACGTCCGTCACACTACCACATTACTATAGCTATATATGTCCGTCACACTACAGATGACTACGTGTATGTACGTCCGTCACACTACCACATTACTATAGCTATATATGTCCGTCACACTACAGATGACTATGTGTATGTACATCCGATGACTTTCACACGACTATTGGTATATATGTCCGTCACACTTCCACAGAATAGTGGGAATATACGAAGATTTCATTTCAATAGACATTCTATGGGGGAAATCAGTATGGTCAGAATAACCAGATTCGGATCCCCGAAACTGCTACCATCTCTGCTAATATCAATTATAATCAATGACTTCCTATGAGGACTATGCATGACTGGGCTCAAATGGAACCAATACGAGTTTCGGATAGTGTTTTCACTATAGGAAATGTAGTCCTAGATAGGGATGAACTAAATGTCTTGGAATATGGTTTGAACTATATCCCTTCAAAAATATTGAGTGTAGTGGATCAATTGAAAGCTGATCTTGAGTTGACAGCGAATAGATATCTCGAATTGGGAATGAATGTCGGTCTAGTTCGGGATTCTATAGTTTACAATTCAGATCCGTTTAGCCCGAACATGCACAAATCTCAGTATAAGTCACTGAATAATCTAAAACGACGAAACGATATTGTAATAAAACAAGAGGACAAAGGTCAAGGCACTGTTGTAATGTCAAGAGAAGTGTATGAAGCTGAAACATATGCATTACTAGAAGATAAAAAGAGCTATGAGGAACTGTCTGAGAATCGAATGTGGACAACATACGAAACTGTCCGAGATGAAATTTAAGATTTGATAAAAATGGGGAATATCCCAAAAGAATATGTTTCAAGAATTCGATTGAGGGGCAGACGGAAACTACTGAGGTTTTACATTTTACCTAAGGTACATAGAAAGCTATGTCCAGGAAGACCAATTGTTTCAGGGATCGGTCACTCGCCGGAAAAGCCGTCGAAATTCCTGGATTTAGTATTGAAACCACTTGTTCAAAGATCATCGGAGAAAAGTTCCATATCTCATTTTATCATGTTCTTGATAGTACAACACGCTTGATTAATGAGATTATTAAGTTAAATAAGGAGACAAATAAGGAGTTGGCACAAAGGAATTGAGTCACTTTATACGAATATCCCAATTATGGAGGGTGCAGCAAAAGTAGCTAAATTTGCTAAAGAAAATAGTTCTTATCTCCAAATAAAATTAGGACAACCAGTGCTTTTTACATTACTGAAAATGGTACTAAAAATAACATATTTAACTTTGCCGGAAAATTCTATAAACAAAAATTCGGAACAGCAATAGGAACTCCTTGTGCTCCTCCGTATGCAAATATATTTGTTTTAATTCACGAGTTGAAACACTTATTAAAAATGGACTTGAAACCGTTAAGATGGTTTAGATATCTAGACGATGTCCTTTTTATATGGTTAGGAGAAAAACAAAAGTTTGAGGAATTTCTAAATAAATTGAAGAATATTCACCCTACACATACTCATGTGGCAGTGTGACGGACGTACATACACACAGCCATGTGGGAGTGTGATGGACGTACCTACTGATAGCCCCGGTTTTACTGATAACTAAGTCCAAGTGTGTTTCGTAGTAGTTTATTTCGAAAATGAATTGTCAACTCCCACTGAATCGAGAGCTTATATAGTGCAGATGTGGCGTAACTATTATGCAATAGATAATTACGCAATAAGAAATGGTTATGAAATAACAAATAATAACTGATTATGCAATAACAACTGATTACGCAATAACATCTGAAGTCTTACATGATGTCTGACGACAGCGAATCATGTAACGCCTCCCCCTGCAAAAAAGATGTGCGTAGCGCATCAGAGAAAATGGAAATAAGCGCGCGGTAAAACAACAAAGATACCAGCCAAAATATGTGTTATCAACGAAAGTATATTCTTTTAAGCGGCTAGATATTGTGTTGGTTAGCCGCATGGTATCAGGTTTGGCATGCTAAGCAGGATCAATATGGAGTTCCAAAATGGAAGTTGAATATCCATCAGCATTAGTATAGAGCCAGCTAACATGTGATTGTTTTAATGATGTTTCGTGCGTATACAGGAATCATGTTGTTGAGGTGCACGATCTGCTGATAACCATCTTGTTGATGTTCCACCTGGTAGGTAAGTTCATTCAACTGGTTCAGGATGACAAACGGTCCAATGTATCGTGGATCGAACCTGGATGATCTTCGGCCCCCTAGCACCTTTATCCAAATCAAATCACCAATGGTATAGGATGGGTTGGATCGATTCTTATCGTACCGTTTTTTTGCAAGGTGCTGTTGCTGTTTGATATTTGCCTGAACTATGCTGTGGACCGCTTTTTTATACGTGTTAACTTGGGTCCAATAATCATTTGGTTTTGTGAATTTAAACGCCGTTTTTGGAGGATCAAACGGAAATCTGGATTGACGATTAAATGCTAGTTCATACGGAGTGAATTTGGTCGACGAATGTTTGGTGTTGTTGTAGGCGTAGACGACATACTTTAAATAGTGGTCCCAGTCTTCACTATTGTGATGGCAATATTTAGAGAGTTGCTGGCAAAAGGTGCCGTTGAACCTTTCCACTTGGCCGTTGGTCTGAGGATGGTATGCCGTTGAGAAGACATGCTTAGTGCCAATCATTTTGG